CTAGCCTGTTTTTACAGAGCACTTTACTGGGGTTAAACTGGTTTAACTAATAGTGCCCCTTGCATAAAAACCCTTTTACCTAACATGAATATTTGCATCAAATCATCCTAAATTATCCCACTGGACACAAAGGCCCGGAACATCCAACAAAGTGTAAAGAGAAGAACAGAACTTGTGCACCAACTCTAAATAAGGATCAGAATCTATATAACACTTCTCCCTATATGATGGTAACTGCTTTATCGCTTTAGGAGGTACCTCTCCTCCTACAAAGAACGTCGCTTTTCGCTCGTAGGCGTTACATAAGGCCAAACATTGTCGTACTAGAAAATGAAAGCGGCTAGCGAAAGTGACGTACTGTCCCGTTTTCTGTTTTGGGTCCTCTTTGTATAGGTTAGGAGAGGACACTATAACTTGTGCATGAGAGAGAGAGAGAGAGAGAGAGAGAGAGAGAGAGAGAGAGAGAGAGAGAGAGAGAGAGAGAGAGAGAGAGAGAGAGAGAGAGAGAGAGAGAGAGAGAGAGAGAGAGAGAGAGAGAGACAGAGAGAGAGAGAAAGATAATAAGTGGTATGTTGGTCAAACAGGTAAACATCTTGACCAAAGAACAAATGAACACAAATGTATCATAAGGTTAGGTCAAGAGTCCAATTCATTGTTTGTTCACTTAAGACTTTGTAGTCATTTAATAGACTGCATCAATTCATGCAAAATTGTTGAGTGTAAATCTGATAGTGAAAAAATATATAACTGAATCTTCATTTATAAAAAGTAGTGAATTTGATAACATTTATGTAAATCCACGATTGTATAAATTAGATTATAATTTGATTAGATTTATAACTTTATAATTGGTAAGATTTGTGATAGATAAACAATTATGTAATGAACAGATATATGTGCAGTACATTCCAAGAATTAAGGGATGGCCTCTACCCATTCAATCATGCCACTCTCGTTTTTTTGATACCATGTTGCTGGATCTAAATATATAATAATCCCAAACCCATACCTTTCCTGTCTTAAACCTAAATGACTCAAACTTATGACCCCCATCAGGATTCGAACCCAGGCCGCCGCGGGTCTCCCCTGGTACTGTAACCTCAGCACCATCGATGGTCTGCAAATATTGGTTGGTGGCGGCACTTACACACACACAAGTTCCATGCTCAACACTCACCCGACGACACTGGTGGTTGGAGTCCAGTTATTTCATCAAACCTCTAAACATGCTGAGGGCCGCACTGAGTACACATGTGAACAAAACCAGAGTGGTCAGCATTGCCTGTAGTTGCTGGGTTCAGTACACTGAAGCGGACACAAATACAAATAACCTATAAAAATACTAATAATAAACTAATACAAAAACATATATTCTGATTCAAAATTTAACAAATTCAATCAGGATCATAAATCCCAAATAAATGTAACATTATACTACGCACATTGCGAGAAGCTCTTTTGTTAAGGCTCTTACCATAGTGGGCAGACGTGGCCAGCGTTGCATCAGGAGTGATCTCAGGGGTTGTGGGGCATCGCTATGCCTGGCGCTGCTCCGCCTGGCGCTGCTCCGCCTGCCTGACGTTCAACAACTTACGTCCCAAGGTCCAGATGGTCCAGCGTAACGTTCAGTCGCAGCGTATACAGCAACAAGAACAATTCAAACAAAAGCGATTATGATAATTATGCCTAAAAAATAATAATAATAATAGAATAATTATACAAATAAGACATTACACGAGCGCAGCCAGAGAAGTTCTGTATGTTAATAAATATACCTTCGCTGAAGGTGGGGATAAACACCCCCTGAAATGCTGAAATGATTTCAGGCATAGAGTGCGCCTTCACACACTTCCAGCACACAGGGAGGAGCAGTGTGAGACGAGGGCCCCACCACACGCCCACACGCATCGTTAGAGAACTGTGGAAAGTAATATTTGTACTTTTTGTTATAAATTATACAGACGAGCGTATACCAACCGGAGAACAGGTTGTATGCCCGACCTCCTTGCTAATGAGTCACTTCCTAACACACTCTTGGTATGTCCGTTTTGAGGTCGAATTTCAGCTTCTGTGTCACAGTTTTAGGAGCCGTTCTCAGATGATCAACTTGTCTCATCCAGGTAATTGCTATTGTGTTCATGAATTTGAATTACTCTACTAGGGTTCAGTTCATCTTCATAAACATTGGCCAAATGCCCGTTAATCCAGCGGCTCCCTTTCCCACCAGCTTCTTCAAGAATTAAGGATGCTCTAGAGATGACTCACAAGTGTTTACTCTCAAGGTTTTCCTGGACAGAGTCTTGCTCACTTCCTCTCCCTCAAGAGCAGCTCTCAAAATGCTACACCCACGTCCTGTTATACAAATAATTTATAACAGAACCAAAACACCTAAGCTATCCTAGGCCACACTGTACACATGAAGCTCGGTTTCCCAGACCTGGAGAGGGGTCTGAGAGTGCTACTTCCCGAGCCCGTCCAGAGGTCAGGCTCGAAAATCCAT